CTTGTCGATGGTTAAACAGCTAGGATCTACTTGAATCCAAGTTAAAACTTAAAAAATGTGCTTGTTTAAAATGTGCTTGATACTATTACGTCTGAACTGACGTACATATTTGGAAGTATTTCAACGAGATCGGCGATAAACAGCAGACTAAAGTGGAGAATTTGGCCAAATACGTCCATTTTCAGGAGGTAGGTACATTTCAAATTATTATTTCGGTCACAAAATATTAACTATTTTACACCAAAACAGTGCTAATATAGATAAATAAGTACCAATTAATTATGTTTCTATAAAAACGATTTAGGAAAAAAGGTAATGTAGGTCCACTGCTGCAGGGCCGTAGCTAAGCATGCATAGTTGGGGGGTGTAGGCCAAAAATTTCCGAATTACGAAAGAAATTTCCGAATATTTCATGGCATACGAAGTCACGAAGGTGTTTGCTATCCGGAAAATGAAAATGAAAACGCAATTTACAAACAAAAATACTCATATTTTACTCACAGACATATTACAGAAGCATGCAGTTTCGTAGGAAGTTCTTTTTGATAGGGGTGTGGCGAGAGCCGAAGGCCCGAGGAAATTTTTAAATTTCGAGTCTCTGAAATGCCATTTCGTGGACTTTGGGGGGAGTTTTGACAGAATTCTGATGGTCAGAAAACAGACTTTTAGCACGTCGAAATTTACAATTAATTTGCTTACAATTTAGAAGAACTAAATGGGCAAAGGCGTATATGGGTAATATGATTCTTTGCGGTTTGTCATGGGTAATGTAGCCGCTTAAAATTAATCAATTGTCAGTATTTTAAAGATATATTGAGGGCTGCCCCTCCCCCCCCCCTCCCGTTGCTACGGCCCTGGGAAGTAATAAACCGAAAAACATTTACCGATCTACGATTTGTTAAATATTATATCCATGTAAATGCCGTGCATGATTTTGTCAATCAGTTTATGATACTGACAATACAATTTTATAATATTTACTCTGTTTAATTATACAACTAAAATTTTGTTATACTATTCCTGCCGTAATTTTCCGAATGACCAACTGATTTTCCGAATATGTTAATTCTAAAAAAGTTGGGGGAGTTAACCCCCAATACCCCCCTTCGCTACGGCCCTGCACTGCTGTTTATCTGAAGTTGTAAGCCACAAATTGACGTTTGACTATGAGTATTGCATGGTCATTTTCTTGTGAAATATCAGCGCTAGGCATTTCACACTTACCAATGACTACCCCTAAAAGCACCATCTCTGAACCATATAAGCACCTCAGAATAGCCAAAGCTTTTATGGCCTGGTAGATAGCACTATGGCGAAAGCGTCGTTTTGGGGTGTGGTCAGTTTCGGACGTTTCGCCCCGGTTTGGGGTTCAGGCAGCGTTACCATGTTGACCGTCCTGGTTAACTTGACCCCAAAACAGTTGAGATTATCTGTCCTAAATGAAATGCATACAAACTCATATACAGGTACCTCCTCGACCAATAGGTATAAATATTTAATTAAATACTTTTTTGAAATTAATTTTGAAACAAATACTAGCAATATAAGTTTTATTTTACAACGACATGCTACATGCATTCCACGCATCATTTTCAAGTTGAATTAATCATAGGCAGCCACCAAACGGCTGAATTAAAATTAAAACTGCAGTGAAATTATACAATTAACGAAAATAATAACAAATTAGCGAAATATATTGCGAAATGTAGCTTATATTAAATCACCACCCGATTGCACTATCTGCGAACTGACGTGTAGTTATAAAGTATACCTAAGGTTGGCATGTATATTTGAACTATTTGAACTACACCGGCAAGAAATATATAAACCCCTAGATTTTCCAAGTTAGCCTAAACAGGTTCTTATGTAAATGGTGCTTACCAGGAAATTAGGCTAAACAGGTTCTTAAATAGGTTCTTATTTTCTTAAGGAAAAAGCGACTCATTGTATATGATTTATATAAATTATGTTAAACAAATGAACTTAATAATGATAGTGTATGCACTGTACCAATTCTATATGCACTTTAAAGCTACACTGATTGTAACTTATGACTTAATTTTGACTCTATTTGATAATATAAGAATCTGTTTTGAAATTCTTGCCTGAACAGTTTCTTATTAAAAGGGATCTAAATAAAATATTTTAGCCTAACAGGTTCATAAATTCTAGGTTCTTATATACGCGGAGTTTTACTGTATATCCAAAGTATTTTAAAAAGCAGAAAGAAACTAGCCCTAAAAACAACATGAACATCAACATCAACATCAACATCAATATCAACATCAACAAGGATAATTTTACTAACCTGTCTGTAACTTTCTTTGTCAAAGTACAGCTTTAAATGTTGATAAACTTACGAAAGTTTACAGTGTTTGTCGATTTTTTTCCTTGTAACTATGCGGGATGCTCGCATCCTGTTCTGGAAACATTTTTCAAAATAAAACTCAGCTGTTCATTGGCTATAGCAAGTTTCATCGCAAGCGACGGAAACACGAAACCGAAGTCGCTTACCACGAAACTTGCTATATATAGCCAATGAATAGCTAAGTTCTATTTTGAAAAATGTTTCCAGTAACAGGATGCGAGCATCCTGCATAGTCACAGAGAAAAAAATCGCCAAAGACCGTAAACTTTCGTAAATGTATCAACATTTAAAGCTGTACTTTGACAAAACAAGTTACAGGTTAGTAAAATCATCCTTGTTTATACGTTTATGTTGTTTTCAGGGCTACTTTCTTTCTGCTTTTCAAAATACTACGGATATCAGTATTTCTTGTGTGTAGTTCAAATAGTTCATATACCTGCCAACCTTAGGTATACTTTATAACCATACGTCAGTTCGCCGATAGTGCATCGTGTGGCGATTTAATATAAGCTACATTTCGCAATATACTTCACTGACTAATTTGTGAGTTTTTTGGTTAATTTTATAATTTCACTGCAGTTTTAATTTAAATTCAGCCGTTTGGTGGGCTGCCTATGATTAATTCAACTTGAAAATGATGCGTGAAATACATGTAGCATCGAAACGTCGTTGTAACATAAAACTTATATTGCTAGTATTCGTTTCAAAATTAATTTCAAAAAAGTATTTAATTAAATATTTTAATTAAAAACTCTTAAATGTACTTAACTATATAAGGGTGTCTTATGTAAGTCTCTTGGAAGACAATTCCAAACTCTCGAGACGCGGGTAATATACAATCGCTGGAAAGTACTAGTTCTGCATTTTGGCGGCCGGTAGGATAACTCACTGGCACTGGAAGATCTATATAGTTGCTCTGATGGGAATTATCGGTTAGGAAGAACATCTTCAGATATGACAGCCAGACCATTTATAGCCTTTAGTCTAGGACTTGTATATGAGTTTGTATGCATTTCATTTAGGACAGGTAATCTCAACTGTTTTAGGGTAAAATGACCATGGCGGTCAACATGGCATATGTGCCAAAACCTGAATCCGGGGCGAAAGTCCTGAAAATGACCCCGCCCTGAAACGGCATAGTCCGGCAGCCAAACGTGTATTTTCCACAAAAGGTTGCAAAGGCTTCCATACAATGTTTTTTTGCATATTATTTTAGTTTGGGGTATTGTCTTTCATAATCCATTTGATGACACCCCATCAGGTTTGGGCGTTAACAAATAACAAGCGTTTTACTTTCGCCTTCGCGGACAGGCGTCCGCATATAATTGGGCTCCCTGTGGTAAATAGGACATGCTATGTTATTGGTCATTGATGTGAAAATATGGGTGAATTTTTTTCACAAAAGTGACCACTTGAGTTAAACACTTGAGTATTATCAAGGGAACAAATGAAAATAATCCAAAAACTACGTGAAATTTATACTAGTGCCAGGACCCTCACATATTATTCGTCATTCAAGATGGCGCCCACCTTGCTGCTCTGTTATAACAGTAAGTATTTCTTCTGAAGAACTTCAAAAAAGGCTCTAAATTTGACTCGAATGTAAGTTATTTACTGATGTATATTATAGAAGGTAGTTTTATTTTTCAATTGTATATGTTATATCATTCCATGTATTTTTTTACACTTTTTGAGCTAAAGTCGCTACTTCAAATGCTCGAAAAAATGGCTAAAATCAGATTGAGTTTCTGTTTGTTAGTATTCCCGCGGCTGTCAAGTTTTACTTTGTATAATTTAGTCATAATTATATATATATATATATATATATATATATATATAGTAGACAAATATATTTTGTTATCATTTTTTTCAAATAGAAATATGTTTATTTTGAGGGATAAATAAATGCTGATTTTTAAAATTGAATAATTATTGACAGAATACTGTACGTGTAAGGTCCTTTTTCGAATATGGAAGTATGTAGACCAGCCTCATTGCGGCAAACGTATCAACCTAGAGCGATTGTGTCATTTTGTAGATTGCAATTAGAGTTTCCGCTAATGGAAAAACAATGTTTTTTTAACTGGAAATATGATTGTGGTGACAGAGGTGACCTGATGAAGGCGGGCCCCGATCGCATCCGAACAATAGTAAAGTTTTCTAAAGAGTACAAGGACAACATCCATGTTGACCTAGTAGATAGATTGGGGAGGAATCCAGAACTGACCATCGAGTGTCATAGGAGCTGTGTATCCACACACACTTCTCAGCAACATTTAAATCGTTACAAGAAGAGAAGTTGCCCTTGAAGAGCGTTTCAGCAAGTCAGCCGTCGAAAAGACAATGCCGCTCAGATGTATCAGTATTTAGTTTCAAAGAGAACTGCCTTTTTTGCGGGAATTGGTGTGAGATTGAGAAAGACAAAAAACATCCAGACCGATGGAAAAGAGCAGTGCTTTGCCGGACTGCATATGCAGGTCCTCACAAAAAATCATTTAAGGAGTCCGTATTAGAAGTATGCACACAACGCAATGATGATATTGCCAACCAAGTGAGAGTTCGCATTGAAGGGGCTTTAAGTGATCTGCACGCAGCTGATGCACGGTATCATATTAATTGCATGACAAGTTTCATGTCTCATGATTCTATATCTGCTGCCAAAAATGTTTCAAAGGAAAACAAGAATACAGATCCTGCATTTGATCAAGTCATTGATGAGATGTCAAAACATACGTCACGTTTGTGGAATTCAGTTGAACTGTATATTCAATGCCAGCTATTTGGCGAAAAAGCACTTCTGTGAAGATCTCTTCTTGTGAAAATTCGCAATCACTTTTTGGATGACATTGTGATCCTCTCCTCGCCTGGATTGTCAAGTCTTGTGGTGTTTAGACAGAATGCGTCGACTGTATTACATCTCGCTGGCGATTCAGAAGACGACACACAAGATCTCTTAATCGGGAAGCTCGCAAAAAGCATCCGTGACGAAGTACATCAGATAGATCATGATAAGTCTCGGTATGATATAAAAATCACCAAGGAAGATATGTCGATACCAGTTAGTCAAACTGTCATGGATCTTCTAGCAGCATTAACTGATAATTTAAAGGACATTCTCCCGGCACTTTTGATAGCCAACATAATCACCGGTGTTCTATCCAACAAACCTACGCATCTGCAGATAGCCCTTGGTAATTTAATTAGAGACTCGAATCGAAGTCACTAATAAATCGGTTGTATCCGTTCAGAGTAACCTGTTCTTATGATGAGATACTACGCTTCAAGAAGTCAGCTGCCCTGGCAGCAACAAAGGATATCAAACTAAGCGGGATCAACCACGGAGGTCTGGGGCTTATACAAGCTGTTGCAGACAATTTTGACGCTGACATATCGTCTCAAAATGGTAACATGTCAACACATTCTCTCGCCATGCTCATTACTCAGCCATCAAATGCATCAGATGATGACTTGAGCACAAGGGAATCTATTCAGAGAGTGAAGAAGTCGGAGATGTCGGAAGACATAGATTTTGAGATTCCGGTACAGCGTTACCAGGGGCCAAAGGTTGTTCCAAAATGCCGAAAAAGTGCTCTAAGAAGAGTGTTCTTCCACTCAAGGTCCTATGTAGCGCCATTCTTTCAGAAAGAAGAGCAAAAGTACTTGACATAGCTTTCTTGAGAGATGTTACCAATACTGAAGCGTGTCTGGAATACAATGGGTACAACACTAGGTTGACTAGGCAACAAGGAGTCTCAATGCAGCCAAAGACAACGGCAGTTTATCTAACTCTTATTCACATGACGTCATCCGATCCAGACACAATCATGACGGCCGTTCACGAGGCAAAACGGCTGTCCAAAAAACGAGGGCAGAAGAACACGATTTTCACAAGCGACCAGCAACTATATAGAGTTGTAAGTGCAATGGGCATATCCAAGTGAGTTCTCAGACGTAATTACACGTCTTGGAGGGATGCATATGTTGATGAGCTTTGCCGGCGCTATTGGCACCCTGATGCAAGGATCTGGGCTCTCAGAGATTCTGGAGTCAACCTTCGCAGGAGTAACGAAAATGCTATCTGGCAAGAAATTCCCACAGAATATCAGAGCAATGAGGATTGTCCTTGAGGAGTTGCTGAGGATTGTGCTTGAGGAGTTGCCGAGCGAGAAGGCGACTGGCCTCTTCATTTGCTTTTTTCGCGTCTACTCACGTCAACTATGCCCTATATGGTCTCTACTATATGCGTTCAATGGAAAGCTTAGAACCAGAGGAACTTTCGAAGTTCATGAAAGGCGAGCATGTGATGCAACATGTCCCAGGGTTATGGAGCGGCATTTGGAGTGACATGTTCGTCGAGACAACTTTCATGCGCTATGGTCATGGCCCTGGGGGGATTATTGGAATTACCCTGAAACCCTCAAGACATGGGCTCTTAGCTTACACGTCTGCAGTCGCCTAAAGCAAGACGTTGATAAGCTTTTAGAGAAGGACCAAAACACCACCTAAGAAGCACACAAAGAGGAAATGAAGGCAAGGATAACCAAGGATGGTGCTGATCGAGAAAGCATCCGAGACAAGCTCAAGCTGTGTATTTATCCGCTTGCTCCAACATCACATCCTCCAAATATCGTGAACATAGTGAGTGGTCAGGTGGCGGATCACAAAGTAAATGTTCAAGATGCTGTAGCTATTGGTACCAAGCAAATGCAAGAATTCGAAAAAAGCTGGCCAGAAGGGTTCGGGAGTACAATCTCAAAGAAAGTCAAAACTGTTGCAGACAGTAAGAAACATATCAAGGTTGGCTCAAAGAAGGTGTATGATACTTCGGTGATTTACAGTAGAGTGATAGGCATCCAAGCAAGTTCAAGGGACATTGATATCAAGGAGGTATTGAGTCATGAGCTGGCTCCTGTGCCGACGTCAATGTTTCTTGACTCAGGTGCAATGCGAATCTGCAAAGCAAAATCGGAGTTAAAAAAAGCGGCTTGCAAAAGAAGCGTCATCCTCATGTAATATATCCAATGTTGTGGCAACTGTGCTGGATGGCTCTGCAGTGCTGTGGGTTGTCCATTGGCCGGTTAAAGGTGTTATCGTCGACTTCGTGGAGAATTTCAAGGGGTTCTTATTGAAGAAGCTACTAGATTCCGATGTCTACTTGATCTTCGACAGGTATCGTGAGTACAGCACCAAGAGTGTAACAAGAGACGCGAGGACATGTGAGGTAAGCAGGGTGAATCAGCTTACAGAAAACACACCTTTTCCTTCACAGAAGGCTGTGCTAACAGTTTATCCCAACAACAAACAGCTGATGTCTATAATTTGCAACAACATTATCAACAATGGAGCATTCCATATTCAACATACTATGGGGAACAAGCTGGTTATCACAGGTAGCGACGATGTCCCAACCGAGATCCACAAGGGGCTTGTCATTGCAAGGAGAGACATTGCAACATCTCACGAAGAAGTAGATAACATCATTGTACAACAAGCTATCATATGTGCAAAAGAGCAATCCGGTGCTACAGTCGTTGTTGCAGATGACACAGATGTGCTTATTCTGCTCCTGTATCATTATTGGAACGAACGTCTTACCTGCCCAATGTTTATGATCTCACCGATTCAGCAAAGATCACTTATCGACATTAAGACCACTGTACAAGCCCACCGTACCATCATACCTGGTTTACCAGCAGCCCATGCGCTATCCGGTTGTGACACTGTACCTACATACTTCGGAATTGGCAAGGGAACTGTCTTGAAGAATCTAATTATTGCTGCTCCCAACTCGTTGTCGCTGTTAGGATGTTCAGATGCGCCACTTCCTGATGTTGTTGACCAGGCAACAAAGTTTATCAGTGCTTGCTACAGCAAAACAGTTCATGAAAAGACGATGTCCAATGTCAGATACAAGATCTGGACAACGAAGTTTGGAAATACTGCAACTTCAGCCCCAAAGATACAAGCACTGCCACCTACCACAGAAGCATTTGTAGAGAACGTGAAGAGAGCCCACCTTCAGACCGGTATTTGGAAAGCAGCACTGACCCTAGATCCACCTACTCTTGATCCAGTCAAATACGGATATGTGAGACATGAGCCTTCCAAGTCATTGCTTCCAACAACTGTACCAGACGGTGTTACATTGGCGCCAGATGATATAATATATCTGATCAAGTGCAACTGTGAAGGTGCCTCAGCGTGCAGAAACATGAGGTGCAGCTGCAACTGCAGCAAATTGCCATGCACTTTGTTTTGCAAATGCGACGCTGGAGATGAATGTCTAAACGAACTTACCAAGACGGTAGTTACGCCAAGAGAGGCCACCGACTAACTCTTAGCCTTAATCACCAGAATATCGTCAAAACCAAACTACGGCGCTAAAACGGCGCTATCGACTGATAATTTAGTGGAGTACTGTTTTTATTTACATTGGTAAAATGATGTCAACAGAAATATACCACTAAGTCATCACACAGATACTGTGAGAGTATCAAGGAGCCGCGCAGGCCCAGTTAATTTTATAAGCGAGCAACTTTTTATCAGATGACTCCTGGAAACACTATCTTATAAGTTTGAATCATATGTTAATAAAGCAGACCGGAAATTGTGTATGTTGATTATTTGATAGTTTTATGACGTCATGAATGATATGTCCCACCAACCCAACCACTCATAATTCCTGATGCCCAACAATAAAGGACTGACAGCACTCAGATCATTGCTGAGGGGTATAGTTTCGATAAGAATTCGAATAAGTCAGTACAGAAAATTATATTTATTGATTTATTGCTATTTCTATGACGTCATTAATCCCCTCCCTCCGTAAATCTAGATGGCCAAGAGTAACAGTCTCTCATCACCCAGATTATTGATAAGGAGTATGTTTTTTATAAGATCTAGAACTTGAATAAGAACAAGGCAGAAACTGTATTTGTTGATATCTTATTAGTTTAATGACGTCATGAAATATGTCCCCGCTCTTGCCCCCAACAATTATTGATCCCCAAATGTTTCGGCCTATCATCACTCAGATTATTGCTATGGGGTATATTTTTGATAAGAATTAAAAAAAAACCCATTGTATTGAAGTAAATGCAAGGTATTTCACACTGGCTGCCGGTCTAGCAGTGTCAACATAGCTCTAACTTCCGAAAAGGAAAAGCGATAGCCTTTTTGAAGTGCCTATAGTGTGTAGAAGGGTTGCATTAGGGGCCGGTTATTGGAAGGAAAAATTTGTCTAAGTATAATATTTTACCAGAAAATGACCATGCACCACCCCCAGGTAAATTGCTAATTATGCATAAAATAACTAATATGCCTGGCAGAAATTAAATTTTCTTATTTCCTAAAAAAAATTATCATAGGATGAAAAACTATGCTTAATTCAATATAATTATTGTGGATTTCATAAGGATTGTCATTGTTTTCTTTAAATATAATAATTTTTTATCAACTTTTCTCTTGGGGTTCCAAGTTTTATCATGGAATTAGACATCAGTTCCTCCGGCCCACCCCCACCCCCCAGCTAAAAAATGAATGCTCCCTAAGTTGCGGGCTTCAAATTTCAAAATATTTCTGGTGGGGCATGCCGCCCAACCCCCCTAGGTATGGCGTGGCCTTCAGCCACCAGGGTTGCAAATAAATATTTGACTTGACAGGACATTTGTCCGATCACTTTTAATTTTGGTCGGACATAACTTGAATTTGGTCGGACAAAAACCAACACCACTATAATATTATATGTCACAAGATATATATAAGTAACGAGACAAGTATGTATAGCCATTCCGGCGCAACGTGAAGTAAAATGCTAGAATGCCAAATTGAGTGAATTTGCAATCGGATTTTGTCACAGCAAAAAAATGTATGTGACAATTTTTTTTATGTGATCGGACGAATGTCCGGTCAAAATTACTTTTGCTCGGACATTTGCCAAATTTAGTCGGACATTGTCCGATGTCCGACAGTAATGTGCAGCCCTGAGCCACGCATGTTGATTTCATCCAAAATGCTACGGTCAGATTGAGACGCTGAATCCGCCCCTTAAGTTTCATATGCTATCAAATAGAATTATCCGAGATTATTTAATTTTCCCGCAAAAAAGGAAATTCAGAGAACGTGCAAGGAATTTTTCTAGACCACCCGGTTTCGCATTACATTGCGATTCGATTTTTCTAATTTTTTCGTATTTACCCCCTTTTAAAAGAAAGCCAACATTGAAATCCTCACAAAATAACCTTTTGAACGGGGGGTCAAGTGCCGTCAAAACATTACACAAATCACAGTTAATGCACAAACCGAACTAATCATATATTTACTCAACGCTTGGCCAAACATTCTAAATTTCATATCGAGAAAATCATGAATATCTCTTGAACTCTTCGGAATTACCGGCAAGTCAATCCGAGTAAAATACTCATTGTATTCAAGCGCTTTCGTGTACAAAATTTCGTTTGAATACGGCGAGTAGAAATGTTTATTTTGAATTTTTCAAGATGTCGGGTTTTACTCGCACGCACGTATATTGCGCAATAATTGGCCAATAAGAAGCTTCTCTAGCCGGGATGACGTCAAACTCACGCGTGTAGGTGCACTTTGACCTGTAGA